TTGTATGCAAATCAAAGTTGCTTATTGTGTACTATTTTCTTTAAGTAGTAGGGCAAGTTACGTTTTGCATTTTATCACTGCCTGTATGGTGATTGGGCATTCTTGTTTTCCTATGCATACAGTATTCTGTGATGAGGCTAAATCAATACCCTCTAACTCCGTAAACATTGTGTATGTTCACTTTTTCCTTTTAACTTATCAGCTTTTTCAGTAATTGTGACCATAAATCCCATATTGTAGTCATTCCTGGTAATTCCACGCATCCCTATAACTCCATCGGTACTTCAAAAAGTAAGTGCACTCTCAGTTGTTTTGCTGTGACTTTTTAATTTGATAAATCTACTTATTCCCTGACATTCCCGTCATGCAATTGCGCGCACATAACGCCCGTATCTCTGTTTCACAATTGTAATTTCATCTATCGTAGTAATGCCAATCGTCCATGGCTCCGCTTGATCACTTTAACTCCAGTTGTTCCCGCGTGGCTTCACCTTTTCCCTAGAATCAACTATTTATTGATTCATGCCTGAGATTGTTTAAACTTTTAGCGTACTTGGGAATGTGAAAGACTGGGTGCCAGCAATAAACCAAACTCACGATAATTACATTATCGCGTTTTCTTACAGAAGTCTAGCGGTAGATCATTCTCTACTTTCAGGGCAAGTTTTCAGATTGCCAGCACTCCACCTTTCTCTCCTGATTATTGTAGATAGCTGAACTTTGCAGAGCAAATGTATTAGTCTGTTTCGATGAACACGTATCGTTTCAGATCGTGAGGGCAACGGCGTTAGACGATGCTCCATCGTTTTCGGTCCTGTTCCAGCACCTGAGCGTTGGTAGAATAAAATCAGTCTGCAGCTCTTGTTCGTGGTGAATTCTTGGCCGATCGGTTGAACAAGTAGTAGCTGTTTCGCCTTCCTTTCTGAAAGCATTCCTAAGGCGTGCCAAAACCATCACTGCTATGACTTCTTAATCAAGAGGAGCAGCGACTGTAAACCAAGTTTCTCTGAGACATCGGTCCTCTAAACGTTGTCGAGATGCGCCAGAAAAAAAATTATTCACAAGAAATTTGTAGTTGCCTCGCCATACTTTAATTTCATGCTTTTTGTGGATTTCAAAATTTACTTGTTTAATTTTAAATTTTAGGTTTGGTCGACGGTCGAAGATTCAAAAATAATACGTTTCATCCGTGAATCTGGTGACAAGGTGCCCTCTGGCACTCGTAGCGGCGCTCCATTCATTTGCGTATCGACTTACTCAATGATCGCTTTCCAAGGCAAAAGGTCATTCGATGCAGAACGGATGATGAACTGGTTACAGGAACAAGAATGGGGTCTTCTGATTCTAGATGGTGCGTTGTTTTTTAAAAAAATTATCCCCAAGTTTGTGTCGATAACATTATTGGGGAGAGTATTAGGTTCTGTGCATGAAGGCACAAAAAACTATTATTCACGTATTTAAAAGCTCGTTGTTCCTGTCAGGTAGCGGATGCAGGTAATTCAAGAGGCCTTTCCTTTAGTCCCGGTCTTCCGCCGTACGAATAAGTGTTTTGGTCTCAATTCTAAAGGGCTAAAGTTTCAGGTCTTCTGTGTAACCCAGTCTTCTTGTGCATAGTCTGCCTTCCCTGCGTTTTTACTTAAAGTATTCGAAAATTTTTTTTATGTAAACTGCCCTTACAAGGGAACGGTGAATTTTTCCATCTTTCAGCAAGCTGAATTCTGGTCCTGAGTTAGGTCCCATTAAGTCCCTGTCGTGATGTGGCAATGCTGAGAGATTTTGTGTTCTGCGAGTGTGAAGGAGCAGCTTTTTAACTTGCTCAATATCGTTACTAACGTCTGAACAATTGATAGGTGCACTGATGCCCGTCTGCTAATGCTAACTGTGACTTTATGATGCACAGCGTCATTGCTCTTCGAAATGCTATTCCAAATAAAGCTTTCCATTAATTTTTGTCTCTTACTATAGACTGACAACGTCAGGCACTGTTATCATTCTGAACACTGACTAGGAATCATTCGCAAAGACAGCTATCAAGCGAATTGCACCCTTTAATTTAATTTAGGCATTAAGCACATGAAATATTGGGTACTTTCTATAAATTTAGAGTCGCTCTTGCGTTTTGAGCAAACTAGTAACAATCAATAGGCTTTATTATATTGACGGGTAGTCTTTAAGTTACTAAGAATGCCCTAAAGAGTTAAAATCATCTTCCAGATTAGAAGGTAAAAGCGAAGGAGCTCATGAAACAGTTTTTCATGAGTTTAAGGCCAGCCTTTCTTGCAGAAGGAAACTGATTACAAAAATATAATGTACATTTTCTTATTATTAAACTAGGTATATCGTTTGAACTATTTCAGGGGTTAAATG